TGGTGGGCAAAACATATAATGCAGTGCAATAAAATTATAATTTAGAGATAAACGAATGTTTAAAAAAATGTACTCGGTTACTAACGTAACCTCGGTTCCCTGAGATATGGGAACGAGTACTGCGTCTTGCTTAAGACGCTATGGGGAAAACTCCTTTTTCTCAGATGACTGAAGCCTTTTCAATAACGCAGTGTAACTGTGTAATAGCGGAGCTGCATGAGCCTATGGCAATGAAGCCCGCCACAGCCCGCCAGAATGGGCGGGGTCATCTGGCTATACAAGCAGGCATAGGATCCTCAGGTTACTTCGACTGAAGCGACGACTGAGTCATGCAGCTACATAGCATGGCCAGCAACCGATGTTATGTTAGTAACTGAGTACGTTCCCTATTGATACTTCACTCGTACTGCATCTTGCTTAAGACGCTATGGGGAATCAGTACAATCCCGCCATGCTATGCTAGAGGAACAACAATACTTGAACTTGCCTTAAGCACCAGAAAGGGGCCCAGAGGGACCAAGTATTTTTCAGGAAAAGGAGGCAATAGGGCCAAACTCCTAGAGGTCAGCTCGGCCTTGAGTAATCGTCCCAAGATAATTTTTGTACAGCCTCGGAACTCAGTGAGGGCCAAAAGCGTACAGGAAGAAGGCTAACGCCAGAAAACACTTATTTGTCATATGACAAGAGTGAGCCCGTTATGCAGAAAGGACCCGGGTCTGTAAGGCCGGGATGTCCAGATTATAAAACCTGGTAAATGTGGATGGCGAGCCCCAGGCGGCCCCTGCACAAATCTCTGCAATAGACACACCGCTAGACTCATACTCCCATGGGGCATTGTAGGCCGAACGAAGAGTACGCTAGCGCAATAGCGTCAATTATCCATTTGGAAAGTCTCTGCTTCGTGACCGGAGACCCCTTGGTGTGTCCACCGAAGCATACAAAGAGCTGTTCCGGCTGCCTGAACGGGGCAGAGCGCTCAATATAAAATCTCAACACCCTGACAGGGCAGAGTAAATTCAACTCTTGGTCTTGCTCCGAAGGAGGAAGCGCCAATAGAGTTATTACCGGTGTTCTGAATGGAGAAGAAAGCACTTTAGGTATGTAACCATGCCTTGGCTTCAGGACGACCTTGGAGTCGCCGGGCCCAAATTCGAGGCAGGTGGGGCTCACAGAGAGCACCTGCAGATCTCCCATATGCTTTACCAATGCTAACGCCAGTAGCAGAGTGGTTTTTAGTGTCAGGGAACGAAGGTCAACGGACTGTAGCGAATCAAAGGGAGGGCTCTTCATCTGCCCATACACCGTGGGCAGATCCCATGTAGGGACGGTGATGGGGCGAAGCGGGTTGAGCCTCCTAGACCCCTTCAAAAACCAAGCAACTAGGTTGTTCTTGCTCACTGATTGGCCAGCTATAGGAGCATGAGAGGCTGCTACATAGACCTTGAGCGTGGAAGGGGAACGCCCTTATCCAACATCTCTTGTAGAAATGACAATATCAGAGATATGTCGCGAGAAATTGGGTCTGCTCACCAGGCGGAGAAGCCAGACCATTTAAGGGCATAGAGTCGTCTTGTAGACGGTGCTCTAGCCTGAGAGATTGTATTTAGCATGCTCTCGGAGAGGTCCGCAGGCTCCCATCGTGAGGCCAAAGGTGCAGAGCCCACAGCTCTGGCTGGGGGTCCAATATTGTTCTGTTCACCTGAGAGAGGAGGTCCCGTCCCCGGGGTTGCAGAGAGCAGCCGAGACAGCTCTGCGAACCAGTGCTGGTTCCTCCAGAGCGGGGCCACTAACAGAACCCTGTGCTTCCGTTCCCTGATTCGCCTGATTCTCCCTGGTTTAGCCTGCTCGGCACATGCATTGCTCTCAGTGAACGCAAGTTCAGCTGAGCCTATTCCAAGAGGCTCTCTACCAGAATGAAGAGGCGCTTCGAGGAGAGACCGCCTTGGCAATTTATATAGGACACCACCGTCATGCTGTCCGAATGGACTAAGACGTGGTGTCCCCTCAGGTCTGGCAGAAAGGTGCGAAGGCCCAAACATACTGCCAGCATTTCCAGGCAGTTGATGTGAAGCCGACCCTCCTCTTTTGACCAGTGGCCGAAAGCCGGTTTGCCGTCGCACTGCGCTCCTCAACCTGTGTTGGAAGCGTCTATCGAGACCACCTTCCTTCTGCAGGTTCCATCCACTGAGGGTCTTTCCAAGGGGCCAGAGCTGCCACGCAGGCCTGGCCCACCTTGACACAAAGGCATCTGAGACACCAGGCGTGGGGCGGAACACGCGGTTTCAGCCAGTACTGGAGGGGCCGCATGCGAAGCAGGCCCAACTGAAGTATTGGAGACGCGGAGGCCATGAGGCCCAGCATTTTTTGAAACGCCTTGAGAGGGCGAGAGGCTCCAATTTTGAATGAGGCCGTGAGCTGCTGAATAGCCAGTGCACGTTCTGGTGCGACTACCGCCCTCATTTCGCCCTCACACAACCGATGTGAGGGCGGGCGAAGAAGAGGCACGTAAGCGGGCCGAGTAGGGGGCGCACCAAGATCTGGTGATCTCGTCATGGACCTCAGGGAAGAATGGTGAAGCCCGTTGACAAGGGGCCTGATGGCACCCCGGCAAGAACCATTCATCCAGGCAGCTGCGGGTGGGTTCCTCAGGAGGAGACCACTCCAAACTCAGCTCCTCCACAGCTTTAGACAGGACGCGGAACAGTTTGGCATCCATGCCTGTGCTGGCTGCACTGGGCTGTGCAGATGGCAGGGGGGCTGGGGTCGTTGGACAAGCCCGACAGTTCCTCCGCATCTGAAGCTGCCAGAGACATGCTTTCGTCCATGTCATCGCACTCGCTCCCACCAAATGGGACCAGATCGCTCACAGCCTCAGAGGGACGCTGGTCTGGGTGAGCGAAGAGGACGGGAGAAACCTCTCTATGAGGAGAGAGTGAGGTACGCGGGGGCTCAGCCGGTGTGGGCTCACTTGTCTCCGAGCGCCGAGTTCCTCTGCCCCGCTGCTTTTTCCTCACAGGTTTCTGGGAGGAAGGAAGCAGGAGGGCGCGAGGGGCAGAGTCGCTTTCTGAAAAGAAAGCTAACCATGTGCGTAGAGAGGCAAGACTCATATCCTCGCAATGAGGACATTCCGTCTCAGTGAGTGCAGTTTCAGCATGGGCGGTGCCCAAGCATGAAACACACTCACAGTGTTTGTCAGCGGCGTGCAGGAGCGACAATAACAGCGCGGCTTTTGTAACAATGCAGAGAAAATTTGCTCTTAGTAATTTGCTCTAATAGAGAAATCGCTGGATGGCAGCAGGGGACCGGAAGACAGGAAGCAGGAAGGGGTCTAGATCCGCTGCGAGGCTTGTTCACGGCGAAGGCTTTGAGTCTCGTAGAGCGAAGATCTTGCAGTCGTCGCTGAAGGAGAAGAAATCTGAGGATGCTATGGCGAAATGCCCGCTTACATAGCCAGATGGCCCTGCCCATTCTGGTGGGCTCTGGTGGGCTTCGTTGCCATAGGCTCGTGCAGCTCCGCTGCCGAGC